GTGGCTCATGCCTGTAATCCCAGCACTTTGGAAGGCCAAGGTGGGCGGATCACGAGGTCAGGAGATCAAGACCATCCTGGCTAACATGGTGAAATCCCGTCTCTACCAAAAACACACACAAAAAAATTAGCCGGGCATTGTGGCAGGTGCCTGTAGTCCTAGCTACCCAGCAGGAGAATGGAGTGAACCCGGGAGGCGGAGGTAGCAGTGAGTCGAGATCGCACCACTGCACTCCAGCCTGGACGACAGATTGAGACTCCGTCTCAAAAAAAAAAAAAAAAAAGACTTAAAGAAAGTTAGTCAAGGCCATTATAATATATATGAGACTTCAACAAAACTTGCATAAGAATGTTTAGCATCTGCTTTGTAAGTATAAATAAAACAAAGTATAGCCAGATACAATGGCTTGCAACTGTAATCCCAGCTACATGGTAGGCTGAGGTGGGAGGATCACTTAAGCCCAAGAGTTCAAGACCAGCCTGGGCAGCAGAGTGAGACCCCATATCTAAATATATATATTTTAAATTAGCCAGGCATAGTGGAGTATAGCTGTACTCTCAGCTACTTGGGAGGATGAGGCGAGGGGATTGCATGAGCCCAGGAATTAGAGGCTGTGGTGAGCTATGCTTGTGCCACTGTACTGCAGCCTGGGTGACTTAAAAAAATTAGCCAGGCACAGTGACATGTGTCTATAGTCCTAGTTACTTAAGAGGCTGAGGTGCTTGAGCCAAGGAGTTGACTTGGTTGAGTCAACTTAAGAGGTTGAGGTGCTTGAGCCAAGGAGTTGGAGGTTGCAGTGATCTATGATCATGCCACCGCACTCTAGCCTGGGCAACAGAGCAAGACACTGTCGCAAAAAAAGAAGAAAGAAAGAATAAAAGGACTAAATCTCCTAAATGTAAAGCACAGAAATCCTTTAGGTTCATTACACATTCTCATACGCTCAAAATTCTAACTATAACTCCACTCACACCCTTCAGTGACTCAGAGAAAAATCATCTTAAAAAGCTAGAAAAATCTGGCCAGGTGCAGTGGCAACATAGGGAGACTCCATCTCTACGAAAAAAAAAAAAAAATTAGCCGAGTGTGGTGGCATGCTACTAGGGAGGCTGAGGCAGGAGGACTGCTTGGGCCCAGGAGGTTGAGGCTGCAGTGAGCCATGATTGTGCCACTGCACTCCAGCCTGGGCAACAAAACGAGACTTTGTCTCAAAAAAAAGAAAAAAAGTTGGAAAAATCTGAAACTATCAGAATGAGTCTTGATAAGAACAAACAGACTACAGAGGTAGGGAAAAAATGGACTAAATCTCAAGATTTTTGCAATGGCATCATAGGCAGGGTGATATGTTAGCAAGATAGTTACCAGGCTCCCTTGCTATTTGATACTCCCCCAGGGCAGCAAATTCAAGTTCAGAGCTCAAGGTTTGACTCTGCAACTAAGTTAGAGTATGATTTTAAGCAAGCTCTTTAATTTCCTAAGCCGATTCCCTTACCCATTAAATAGGGCTGACAAATGTACTATCTGCACTCCAGCTTTGCAGTAAGGATGAAAACCAAAATGAGATGTCTGTGAAAGTATCTGAATGTTTTCGAGTGCTCTACAAATTAAAGCACTATCATTACCATTTCAATGGCAGCGGGAGTGAACACTGCCTGCATGGCTAGCAACAAAATCAGATCTAAGAATGTTATTGTAAATGACAACACTCACAATCCCATCTTCTTGCTACAAAAAACACCCAGCTGGCACTGACTGTACATAGGTCCCAAAGAACACCCAGGGAGGAGTATGCATGGGAATTAACGTAAGTATGGGGTCTCTAGCATGCAAATGACTAAGTCCCACAGAAAGAAACTGGATGATTATCAACACCACTTTCCACAGCTAAAAGTGTTACACGCTGAAAGTTTAACAAAATATTGTCAAAGA